CCGAGATCCCCATGCCCACTGATACCAAGATGGTTCCCCATGACACTGGTACCACGACGGTCCCCCATACCCACTGATACCAAGATGGTTCCCCATGCCCATTGGTACCAAGATGGTCCCTCATTCCCACTGATACCAAGACGGTCCCCCATGTCCATTGATACCAAGATGGTCCCCAATGCCCACAGATACCATGATGGTTCCCCATGCCCACTGGTACCAAGACGGTTCTCCATGCCCACTAGGACCAAGATGGTCCCTTCATTCCCACTGATACCAAGACGGTCCACCATGTCCATTGATACCAAGATGGTTCTTCTTGTCCACTGGTACCAAGATGGTCCCTAATGCCCACAGATACCAAGATGGTTCTCCATGCCCACTAGGACCAAGATGGTTCCCCATGCCCACTGGGACCAAAATGGTTCCCCATGCCCACTGGAACCAAAATGGTTCCCCATGCCCACTGGAACCAAGACAGTTCCCCATGCCCACTGGAACCAAGACAGTTCCCCATGCCCACTAGGACCAAAATGGTTCCCCATGCCCACTGGTACCAAGACGGTCCCCCATGCCCACTGGTACCAAGACGGTCCCCCATGCCCACTGGCACTGAGACCGCTGGCCATGCTATCTGGTACTACCACCATCCCCTAAGACCACTGGTAATAAGACCCCAAAATGTCCACTAGACCTTAAGCTTTTAGACAAGATCACACTCATGTCCAGTGAGACCCCCCCCACATTCCGCCCCCTCCCTCTCCCCTAGGATGCAAGCCAGCCAATAATTACAAACAGCACAACTGGAGTTTGACCTCCAGAGCAGAGACACTCAATTTGCTCAATAAAACCTAATTGCCATGTCAGGCTGGCAGCTTCGCGGCTGGGCCCACTCTCCACCACTCCGCCTACCACTCTCACCCATCACTGAGTGTGACTGGCAGCCAGCGGCACGTGGCCTCCCCTTGTCATCACAATTAACCCTGAAGGACACGCTGCAGAGCCCACATGGATCAATGAGCAAGAACCGAGATGGCACTCTTTTGATAAGTAAGGAATTCCGGAACTATCCCAGAATTATTATGATTACTGGGATGTCAGGATGGTGCTTCCATCCAAAGGCAAGCTATTTATTAATCTCTAGTGCCGGATCACATTTAAGGAACCGTGTCATGAAACTGACTGGCAACCACCATGAGCAAAAGGTCTACAGGCAAAAGAGGGAATTATCTTCTCGGAAGAGATAATGCGCCGCGATGAGTCTGGCTCATCTTCTCTGCTCAATTTCTTCCAAAGTAAACATTCCCTTTTATAAAAGGATGGACGGGAAGGTTGGTAATGACTTGCATCTCTGTGGGAGCAGGAAGGCTGCAGGCGACAGGCCCCTTATCAGCCTCCTTCATGCATCGCTTTGAGGGCTTCACCCTCCAACACACCCTGCCTCCACAGCCCTTATCTGCAGCCTCAGCGCCAGCCGCGCCCCACTCCTCTCCACCTGCAGCCTTAAACTGTAATTGGTCTAAATGACTAATTACCTCCGGTCAGTCGACATGATTAGAGTCTCTCTGTTCTACTAGAAGCCCAGGGGTCATCGTTGGATCTCCTCCGGAGTTCGCGCCTCTCACTCCATTTCCTGTTGTTGACCGTGTCCAGCTTCCACCAGTCTTGGTGGATCACAAGTCGCTGGGTTCAAAGGCTCGACCTTCTCCAGGGAGGGAATGTCATTCCCCGAGTGACTCCCTTAGACCAGAAGTCTCCAACCAGCAGACCACAGCTACTCAGTGATGAGGAGACAGCAGCACAGAGCAGGCCTGCATCACTCCTAAGGTACCGTCACTGAATCCCCACACAGCACAGGCCGGTTGCAGGAGGCTCCGGTCCAGCCAGGTCATCCCTGAGAGCTCTGTAAGACTCATGCGCAGCCTCATTTCTCCACAGTCAGCTGTCCTACCAAGGAGAAGGACGACGAGAGCCAGCCTGCCGGTGCAGCCACGCGGACTGTGCGTCCGTCGAGGGGGAGGTTCATATTTCCAGTGCTATGCATTTATAATTTGTACGCGTGCCCATATTGAGGCATCCCAGCCGGAAGTCCCACGCAGACAGGTATCTCTCCCCCTCAGGATGCCACGTCTCCCCCTCAATGTGCTACAAAGCAAACACCTGCAGCTGGAGGCTGAATAAAATGAAAGTAGCCATAGCGGCAGCAGGCAGTGGGCTGCCTCCCTGCACTGTAGCAGCCCCAACCCCTACATCGCAGCACCAGCTCCTACATCGCAGCCTCAGCCCCTACATCACAGCCCCAGCCTCTACATCGCAGCACCAGCTCCTACATCGCAGCCTCAGCCCCTACATCACACCCCCCACCCCGATATCCCAGCC